ACTCTCCATAGTCCCAGCAATAATCCAATCTCCTGCCTCAGGTTCCTGAATGTGTCACTAAGTCACTTTTGAGTCTCCGTTTCCAAAGCACCAACCCGTAATTTTTCCCATTCAGTGATCCTTCCAGTACGCCCACATTTCACAGATTCAAGTTTGCCCTGACTTTGTAGAGTCTGCCATGACTGAACCAGTCCAAACTAGGTCAAAACCCTGGTAGGTATCCTTATCCGTATTTTTACAGATAGAGAAACTAAGGTCTAGGGAAGCTGAAGAACCCTAGGTCAAATGGTGGAGCTGGGATTCAAACCCAATTCATACAGGATAGTAACTTCTATGATAAAAGGCTGAGGCATCCTGTCATGTTGGAGTAAGGTAAGGTGAGGCTTGGAAGGCCGAAGGAGAAATACAGTTGTTCATAGATTGTTGTTGTTAAGTGCCATCAAATCGGTTCTGACCCATAGTGACCCTGCATAGAGTTTCCAAGGAGTGACTGGTACATTTGAACCTCCAACATGCAGTTCAAACTGACTTCGCAGTCCAGTGGTGGTGGTGGTGTGCCATGGAGTCGGTTCTGACCCATAGTGACCCTGTACAGGGTTTCCAAGACTGTAAACACTTATGGGAACAGAAAGTCTCATTTTTTTCTCCCATGGAACAGCTAGTAATTTCGAACTGCTGACTTTGAGATTAGCAGCCCAATTGATAACCACTACACTACCAGAGCTCCTTTAATTTAAGAATATAGAAACAGATACAGATAGATTTTGATATTGATGTAGATATAGATACCAATGCAGATTTCATAGTTTTATAAAGACTCAAGAGTTTTTTACACCAGTGATTTTTGAAGTGGGGCCCATGGACCAGTAGCATCAGCATCTCCTGGGATTTTGTGAGAAATGCAAATCTGCAGGCTCCATCTGTTGCCTCTGAGGGTGGAGCCCTAGAATTTGTGTTTTAACAAAGCCTGCCAGGACAGTCTGATGCAAACTGGAGTGTGCGAACAGCTGGCTCAGACCATGGACTTTGGCCTCAGATGGCTGCTGTGGCCCCAGACATGATACTTACCCTTCCTGAGTCCTGGCCCCTCATCCGTATAATAGGGACTTCACATCCCCCAGTTTACAGGGTTGTCTCCACACTTTGAGGAGATACATCTGCAGCCAGAAGCTCCAGGGCAGAGACATGTTAGAGGAGGTGTTAATCCTCGGGCATTGTGAGCATGGGTAAGTCTATCCATGGGAGAGGGAACGGGATGGGAAGACACAGTAACTTTAAAGAATGGAGTCACTCACAGGTGTAGGTCTTGTTCCAGGAGTACCAGCCCTGTTGTTGTTGTTGTTGTTAGGTGCCATCGAGTCAGTACCAACTCATAACAACCTTAGGCACAGCAGAACAACACACCGCCCGATCCTGGGCCAACCTCACTACTGTTGCCACGCTTGAGTCCATTGATGCTGCCACTTGGCCAATCCATCTCGTTGGGGGTCTTCCTCTTTTTCTCCGACCCTCCACCTTACCAAACATGATATCCCTCCTGACAATATGTCCAAAGTATGAGAGACTAAGTTTGGCCATTTTGGCCTCAAGGAGCACTCTGGCTGCACTTCGTCCAAAACGAATCTATTGGTTCTTTTGGCAGCCCATGACACTTTCAATATTCTCCTCCAACACCATAGATCAAATGCATCAAACCTTCTACGGTCTTCCTTATTCACTGTCCAGCTTTCGCATGCATATAAGGTTATTGAAAATACCATGGCTTGGATCAGGCGCACCTTAGTCCTCAAGCTGACATCTTTGCTCTTCAACACTTAAAAAAGGTCTTGTGCAACAGATTTGCCTAATGCAATACGTCGTTTGATTTCTTGACTGCTGCTTCCATGAGTGTTGACAATTGATCCAAGAAGAAGCCCTAGACACCTGGATTTCCAGAGCTCAGAGCTTTACTCAACCCTCTACCCAGAAGCTGGAGGCACCAGAGTGCAGGTGGAACCTGGTCCTGCCCCTCCTGTGCCCTCCGCAACCCACTGAGCCCCTTCAGGCAGCTGAGTGGAATCCTCTCACCCTGGTCTGAGGACTTCTGCCTCCTATCCAAAGGCTCTGAGACCTTGTGGTCCCCTGATCCACAAATGGTTGGCAATGCCATGAAAGAGGGAGGGGCTAGATCAACAGGGACCACCATGCTTGCTGTGTCACCAGATTTGTCCCATGAGACCGTCTGTGCCTCAGTTTCTTTACCTAAGGGAACCAGACTCATAATGTCTGGGCTGAGAGGGAGCTTTGTATGGATGAGGAAACTGAGTCGCAGTGGGGGAAAGTCCTTTGGTGAATCAATGGGGAGTAAGGGCTTCAAGGAGGAGGTGGCATTTGAAGGTTCCAGACTGGCTCACAGATATCACAGAGTGGAACCTCAGCTGGAGTCTCAGCATGGCCTCCTGAAGGCCAGGATGCTTAGGTTCTGGCCTCAGCACTGGGCAACTCATTATTATAGTGAGAGTTTATGGTCAGATAGGCCTGGGTCCAAATCCCAGGTCTACCACTTCCTAGCTGTGTGACGTTTGGCAAGTTCCTAGCTTTCTCTGTGTCTCTGTTTCTACATTTGCAGAATGGAGATGCTAATCTTAGTGCCTGTCCTTGGGCTAGGTCCTTGGGTGGCACAGACAGTTTGTGCTCAACTGTTAACCTCAAGGTTGGTGGTTTTGATCCAATCAGCAGTACTACAGAAGAAAAGTCTGGTGAGCTGCTTCTGTTAAGATTTTTGTTGTTGTTAGGTGCCATCGAGTCAGCTCCGACTCATAGTGACCCTATGTACAACAGAACGAAACACTGCCCAGTCCTGGGCCAACCTCACAATCGTTGCTACACTTGAGCCCATTGCTGCTGCCACTGTGCCAAGCCATCTTGTTGGAGGTCTTCCTCTCTGTCACTGACCCTCCACTTTACTAAGCATGATGTCCTTCTCCAGGGACTGGCCCCTCCTGATAACATGTCCAAAGTGTGAGAGATGAAGTCTGGCCATCCTGGCTTCCAAGGAGCATTCTGGCTGTACTTGGTCCAACACAGATTGGTTTGTTCTTTGGACAGTCCATTGTACTGTTAATATTCTCCTTGAACACCATAGCTCAGATGCATCAATTCTTCTACGGGCTTCCTTATTCACTGTTCAGCTTTCACATGCATATGAGGTTATTGAAAATACCATGGCTTGGGTCAGGCGTACTTTAGTCCTCAAATTAATATCTTTGCTCTTCAACACTTTAAAGGTCTTGTGCAGCAGATTTGCCTAATGCAATACATCGTTTGATTTCTTGGCTGTTGCTTCCATGAGTGTTGATGGTTGATCCAAGCAAAATGAAGTCAATGACAACTTCAATCTTTTCTCCATTTATCAGGATGTTATTTATTGGTCCATTGATGAAGATTACAGCCAAGAAAATCCAATGGAGTGGCTCTATTCTGTAACACCTAGAGTTACCATGAAAGTTAACAACAGCCCTCATGGAAGGACTAAATGACATATAAAAGACTTAGTGGTCCAGGAGCTTTCTCTGAGCCCCTCCCTTGACATCTGTGGTCATTTTATCCAATCACCCTGCTCTGTTGTCTTCCCAGTACTTGCCACGGTATATAACCGTCTCACGGGTTTATTCATATATGTGTGTTTTTGTCTGCCTCATGCACTGAAGCACCAGCCCCCTACGGTCTTTGTCCTGTTCACATAATCAGTGCTCAGTCCATATTTGATAAATAAATGAGTAAGCACCTGTCTATTTCTCTCATCAAACTAGGAGCCCTTTGATGGAGCAAACAGACTTTTGTCCTCTGCTGGGCTCCCTGGTGTGTCCAGCCCAGGGTTGACACCTAGGACATGTCTTATTCATGTATTTTCCTGGCCATGCAGCCACCTGCTGCCCTGGCCCATTGCTTGCACAACCCCAACACCTCCGTGGTCATGGCTCCACTAGGAAGCCAGGACACACCACATGCTGCCGCTGCAAGAATTGAAGTTCCTCTGGGGGCCTGGCCTTTGGAGGTTTTCTATTTTCCCAGAAGCAGCAGCTTGCAATGAGGCCTTTCTGCCTTCATTGATTGCCCGAGGACAGCAAGCCTCGTTTCCCTGGTAAATATCATTTGATAATAAAATCAGAGAGCCCGGAACTCGAGTCCAGGCCAAATTCCTTCATCACTGGACTGAACATCAACAAGAATGCCAAAGCCAGAAGGGGTTTCTGAGACCACCTGTTGCAGTACCCTTGCTTGACAAATGGGGAAACAGAGGCTAGGGGTGCAGTTGATTTGCCCTAGGATACAACCAGCTAGAAAGGGAACTAGGAGCCCTGGTGCCCAGCCCAGTGTGCCTCCTGGTCCAGCACCTGGTCTTTCCTCATCCTAAGAGGGCACATCTGGCTGAGGGACAGTCCTGCTTTCTGAGATCCCACCTCAGACTACCTGGTGGGCAGCTCTGGAAAAGGGTGCTCAAACAGCTAGGCACACACTGCCAAGTACCTCCTACCATTGTGCCTCACTGGGCCTCAGAATCTGGATCTGGATGGCCCATGAATGACCCACTCCATCCCATCCCCATCCTACAGAAGTGTACATTGAGGTCCAGCGGCTGCAATGATTCTCAGCACCCCTTGAGTACCGTTCATTCTCATCAGTGTCCTCACCTCCAGGGCCAGCCTGGTACCAAGTGGCGAGGACCTGAGGACAAGGATACATACAGCTCATGGTCCCATGAAGTCAGTGTGTTAGTGGTCATGAGGAAGACCCTGGGATGTCAAGCCCATAACAGTGACTTGAGGGCAGGTGTGGGGAAGGAGAAGCGAGCCCACTACTAACACACTAGGTATTTTGGTGGGTGGTCCCAAGACAGACCCTGTAGCATGTGCACACATACATGTGCAGATGCACACACCCACACACATATACATACATGTACATGCACACACACAGCTCCTCACCACATCTGCCAGGGATGGAGGCCTTGTACTCACCCATGACGTTGAGGAATATGTTGCCTGAAGCCAGGACCACCTTCTCTCTGGTGGCTCGGTCGTAGATGCCCACGTGGCACTCGTAGGGACCATTGTCAGAAATCCGGACCTCAGGCAGCCTGAGTGAGGAAGAGGAAGTCACTCGGGGGCTATAAGGAAGCAGTGTTCCCGGAAACCAAAGCCAAGCCCCTCTGACTGAACCGGTGCTCACTAAGTACTTATCATATTGACCACATGTCTGTGTGCTATTCTGGGAGGAGGAGTGAACAATTATTGAACACCAGTTGTTTGCCAAGCACTGTGTCCCATACTGCAGAAGGTAAAGGCATGGGTTCCGTGTTTAGTTGGAATTCGGCCTTTGCTGGTAGTTGGCCCTGAACATGGTCTTTAGTCTCTCAGCATCCACAAACTAGGGGTGGCAGGGATGCTAACTCCCAGGGATGCCGCGACAATGACAAGCTTGAGGAATCAGGCACTTAACATGGCACCTGGCATGGGGCCCTGGCTCAGAACTGTCACTCAGCGCATCGCTTTACTCCGCCCTCACAAGCCCCCTTCAAGGGGTCACTGTGCCTACTTCGTAGGCAAGGGCACTGAAGCTCAGGGAGAGAACATGAGTGCCCGTCTCCTCCCCCAGTATAGCTGGTAAGAGCCAGGCTTTGAATTCTTCCCACACATCATGCTGCCACTTTATGCCCAGCCCTGAGAACACTAAGAAGAAAGAAAAATTCCTGTTCCCAAAGAGGAATCCTCTTTCCGTGGACTAACGAGGCCAAGAGGTTGGTCAGTGTGTTGAACTCATGTGAAAAAACTAGCCACTTCTCAGAGCACAGAGTCCTTAGGTGGTGAAAATGGTTTACACACTCACTGATAATGGAAAGGTTGGAGGTTTGAGTCCACCTACAGGCACCTCAGAAGAAAGGTCTGGTAATCTCCCTCTGAAAAATCAGCCATTGAAAACCCTGTGGAGCACAGTTCCACCCTGACACACACAGGGTTACCAGGAGTTGGAATCCCTTGAAAGAAAACTGTTAGGGATTTTTCTTCCTTAGTTTCATCAGAGCATAGAACAGGAAACAGTTGGCTTTGACTGAGGTAGGAGGAGGGCATCTCAGAGAAGGACCTATGAAAACGGAACCTTCTTTGAGACTTTTCCTCCAAAAGGCCAGACAGTAATCTCTGAAATTTTGCAGGGTCATTTTCATAACTATTCAGTTCTGCCGTTGACGGTGCAAACAGCTGCATAACAGAATCGATGTGGCTGTGTCCCAATAAAACTTTATTTATGGACACTGACATTTGAATTTCATATTATTTCCATATGTCATGAAATAGTCTTCTTCTTTAGATTTTTCAACCATTTCAAAATGTTGTAAAAAAACAAAACAAAACTTAGTTCACAGGCTGTACAAACACAGGCAACAGGTTGGTCTAGATCCTTCTACAGCATCTTCAGGGCCTAACTGTACAAAAGGGAGTTAGAATGCTGTTCTTGTTTCCATGGAAAACATCCACAGGGAAGCTTTATCTTCTCTGTATAGTGACAAGAGGGTAATGCTGGTGGTAGAGAGCTGTAGGAGCAGCACTGGACTGCGAACCAAGGTCAGCTGTTCAAACCCACCAGCTGCTCCTTGGAAACTCACTCTATAGAGGGTCACTATGAGTTGGAACTGACTCAACAGCACTTAACAACAACACCAGGAATCCTGGTGGCACAATGGTTAAGCGTTTGATTGCAGAACAAAAGGTCAGTGGTTTGAACCCACCAGCTGCTCCCTGGAGAAAAGACCTAATGATTTGTGTGAATAAAGATTATCCACTATCTTCAGGTCAGTTCTGACTCAGAGTAGAACTATTCCACAGGGTTTTAGAGACTGCATATCTTTGCAGGTGTGGACGGCTTCATCTTTCTCTTGCATAGCAGCTGGTGGGTTCGAACCAGTAGCCCAATGCTTAATCCACTGTGCCACCAGGGATCCTTTTTGTGGGAACCCTAGGGGACATTGATATTTTAGTAAATAAATCAGTGTGGCTTGCTCCCAACGAAACTTTATTTATGGATATTGAACTTTGAATTTTATATCATTTTCATGCACCATGAACTATTCCTTTAATTTTTTTCAACTGTTCTAAAATGTAAAATAATGAGCTCTGTTCTATAGGGAGGGTCACTGTGAGTCAGAATCAACTTGATGTCACACGACAAATAGTGAAAAGAATCCTGATGTGCAGTCAGAGAGAACCAAGTTCAAGTCCAGCCCCTGTTGTTAATAAGCTGTGAAACCTTGGACAAGTCAGTCCAGCTCTCTGAGCCTCTTTTTTGTACTGTTGTTGTTGTTTAATCTAAAAAATGGGGCTGATATTTCACAGAGCTGCCATGAGGATTAAATGCAATGATGTCTCTGAAAGCCCTCTGGAGGCAGGATGGTGGCACCCAATGGGTCAAAGTTCCTTCGTGGGGTGCTGCCTGCCCTGCGGGAGAGGAAAGGCCTGAAGGTGGACTCTGGACAGTTCGGACAGGAAAAAATGAGCTTATCCATCCAGTGTGTCTCCCCTCTTAGGATCTGATTATGAAGTTGAAGGGACGTCTATTCTGGCCACAACTTAAGAGGAACGGAGGTCTCTCTTTGGGTCTTAAAGGTTCTCAAGCCACATAAAACTAGAGGAAGAAACTCAATTCACAGAAAACCAGTAAAAAGCCAGTGGCCCTTGATGTGGCTCTGATTCATGGTGAGATCACGTGTGTCAGAGTAGAACTGTGCAATATAAGGTTTTTAAGGACTGATTTTGGGGAAACATATCTCCAGAACTTTTTTCTGAAGCACCCCTGGGTGGGCTAGACCCTCCAACCTTTCTGTTAGCAGCCAAGCATGTTTAGACTATCCAGGACTCCCATATTCACAGTGGTGGTGGATATGTGCTGTGGAGTCAGTTCTGACTCATAGCGACCCTGTACAGGGTTTCTGGAGCTGTAAATCTTTACGGGAGTAGAAAATCAGCTTTCACACATGGAACCACTGGTGGTTTCGAACTGCTGACCTTGAGATCAGCAGCCCGACTCTTAACCACTACGCTACCAAAGCTTGTTCCCATATTCACAGAGCCCCTCATAAATGCCAAGCACCAAGCCTTAAACCACCTCACTGACTGATAGTTCTACCCCACTGGGGGACAGAGAGAGTGGTGGTTAAGAACTCCGGTCCTGGCGGGTCTCAGACCTGCCACCCACTGAGAAAGGGGCTTCCTTCAATCCGTTCTTCACTCCCATCCCCTCCTGGACATGTTCCCCACTCTGCTTGGCTCAGCCGCTGCTCTTTCTTCCATCTGCTTCTGCTGAGCAATTTAACCTCAGATTCACTCTTTTCTTTTCTCTATTTCAGCTGTTTCCCCTCCCTCTCATCTTTGTCTTCCAGCCCCTTCTTCCTGTGACTCACTGTCCCTCCCTTCCTCCTTCCTGCTCTGTTCCCCCCCCCCCCCCCACACACACCTGGGCTGAGCCAGCCTTTCCCTCTTCAACCAGCCCACATTAGCATAAACAAACACCTTCATTTACATAGAATACACAGAGGTTGACATCTGGTCTGCTGACTGTCAAGGAAGGCCTTAAAGAACCGGGAGCTTTGCATCAGAGACACTGTTGAGAAGATGTTGCCTCCCTCTACACTAGGTTCTCAGAAGAAACAGGATGGTGAATGTGAGAACAGCAGGGGACCCATCTCCCCTGGGGGGGGAGGGGGGAGATCTGTTTTCTGTATTTGTAACTCAGCCAGACTGGAAAAATAGCCTCTCTGTTAGCATGGTTACTGAGTGACAGTCACCCAGAGTGACATGTTGAGGTGATACTCATCGGTGTCAGTTTCAGAGATGACTGGCTTAGTTGACTTACGTAGGTGACAGATGTGCAGATGACTTGCTCAGGTGACAGAGCTGTAAAGAAACAGGCTCAGGGGACATGTGTAGCTGGGAGCTATCCAGTGATGTAATAAAATAATAATGGCAAGGTGAAACACAGGGATATGCACAGGTAACTGGCACCTAGGTGATGTGTTCATTTGACAGCAACATTGATGACATGCTCAAGTAACAGTAACATATGCAACGTGCTTGGGTGACACCACACATGTGGTTAGAAGACAGTTCAGGGGACACCTGGGTTGGTTCCGTATGAAGAAGCAGTTTCCCACTTAGGATTGTTTCTACAGCCTTCTACTGGGTTCTCTAGCACCATGAATAACCCTTCCCTCCCCCATTAACCCAACTCACAGTGTTGAGCACCATCTTTGATTGCTATCTTGTCTACACTTCCCAAATACAAGCAGTGACAGAGTCCTGGGTACCTCCTAAATATACCTTTGAATTCATCTGTTTCTCTTTGTCTCCATCACCACCACTGTATTTCCTCTGGAGTTGTCATTGTATATAGGGTTCCCAAGGAGTAGCTGGTGAGCTTGAACCATCAACCTTACTGTTCAAAGGAACCTTGTCGTCCAGTGCATTAGCCCGCAGCACCACACCAGGACTCCAGTTTAAGGTTTCTTTGCCCCAGCTCATCTCTGTCCCAACCCTTGATCCAACAAGGAACCAGATCTTTTCAAATGCAAATCACTACGCACCTCCAGCCCTCCCCTTCTTGGCTCTAAGTTAAAATGGCCTTGCCATGCCTTCTATTTGCCAAGCTAACCCGCCCCTCTGCCCCGCATTAACTTCTGTATTTTGGAAGAATTTTTAAATTACAGAAAATTTTCAAAGACAATGCAGAGAATTCTTGTACACCTCCCACTCAGTTTTCCCTATTACTAAGGTCTTAGTTGGAGTCCTGGTGTGGCGCTGTGGGTTAATGCACTGGACTACAAAGTCTGTTTGAAATGCAAGGTCGGTGGTTCAAGCTTATCAGCTGTTCCTCGAAAACCCTTTACAGGATCACTATGGGTCGGAACTGACTCAATGGCACTTAACAACAACAACAACAACAGGGTCTTAGTGAAGTTCTGGTGTGACACTATTGGTTAATGTGCTGGACTGCAAAGTTATTTGAGCCACATGATCGGCAGTTCAAGCTTACCAGTTGCTCCTTAGAAACCCTATACAGGGTCGCTATGGGTCAGAACCGACTCAAAGG